TTTGTGGCTTATTTGTTCATTTTAATTTATTTTCTGTACAGGACGTAAGATTATGGAAATTGCACAAAAAGGAAACAATTCTGCAGATTTTTTATTTTCGGAATCAAAGCTGGCTGGAATTCGGATTTGGATTAAACTCAAATTTAGGATAATATTTTAAACATTATATTTTATCTTTATATTTTAGTTTAAATAGGTTTTTAGTATTTTAATTAAGTTCTATGATATTATTTTTATATTTTATCTTTATCTTTGTATTTTAGTTTAAATAGGTTTTAGTATTTTAATTAGAATTTAGAATATTATATTATTTTTTTGGTATTTTAGTTTAAATAGTTTTAAGTGTTTTAATTAGGATTTAAGATATTTTAGCTTGTTTTTAGGATTTTGAAGGCTATAAATACCCTCTAATGGTGAGCCTAGAAACATATCTCTCTCATTTGAGAATAAAATCTTCTTTTTCTATCTATCTTTCTCTCTATTTTTCGCATACTTTTCTATTATGCTAAGTATGACTTTGGTTATGCTTAGCTAATTTTCTTTCAAGCCGAAGACTAAAGCGAAGGCTCAAGTGAGAATTGTAAGGTACTTAAATCGCTTCAGATTTTCTCTCTGTTTTCTGAAGCTTACTTTTCAAATCAAAACTATTTCGACATTGGTCCGGATATTGTTATGATTAATGTTTGAAGAATGATTTGCTTATTGAAGCATATTCAACTTCCCGATAACACACTTAGCAAAATTGTTTGCTAAGAGAAAACTGAGATCGGAATCAGTTGTTGTTGAAGCGACACAATCCGAGTTGGCAGCGAAGAATTGTTCTTGTAAACTTACTTGAATCTTGAAATAAAAAATTGTTTCGATGATTCGAGGAATTTGAGGCGAAACTGAAGTCTGAGGCTGCTTTCACAATAAGTTTCTCTTTATCTTAATCTCTTTAATTTGTTTATTTAATTATTTTTTCTTTTATTTATTTTTTATTTTTTATTTTAACTACAACTTTAAAAAAAAACCCTTTCATATTTATTACTATTACTATTTATTATTATATTATATTATTTTTCTTTTTCTTTTTTTAATATATCTTTTCAACTTCATCTGGAATTCTATCTTTTTCTAAAATCAAGAAAAAGTTTTATTAAATCAGAAACACCACAGTCCCTGTGGATCGACTCTACTTCTCTATACTACATTTTCATTTTTATTTATTAAGAAGCCATGAATTATTTTGATAGCAAAACGACAGTTATCAATTATCATAAATAAGTCATCTAAAACTTTTGTATTTGTTAAAACAAGCCATCAAACTGAAATTGATCTACAGATATACTCTTGGGATGATTTGAAGTGCACTCACAGTGAGATTAATCTGGGAGGATTGTCGAAACGGCAGCTCAGACCAGCCCATGTAGTCTCATTCGGGAGACACGGGTCTCCTTGCCAGTCATCTCTGTTGATGTTGTATGTATGCTTCATGGACATGATAACATCAAATATCATCAATCAAAATAGAAATGTAAGGAATTTGGTATGCTAAAAAATTTCAGATTACACTTTCTTGAAAAATCTGAAAAGGGTACCATCTGATTGGTTTGTAGCAGAAAGTTCAAATCGTTTAAGCTGGTAAACCTCAAGCGCATTGAGGATTGGAGGAAGGCCGGACTTCTTTGTTGAAGCAATGGTAAAAGTAATTTCGCTTCAATCCGCAGATTCTGGAAACTTATGGACAATGGGTTTAAGTATTCAAGAGAAAAAGGCCCTTGCTTGATACCATTCACAGTTATGCTTATTTCTCTTAGATTATCTTCAAAATCCACAAGTTCAGCAAAGTGAAAGTAAACATTATATACATAGTTAGATACGAAAGAGAAAGAGGCAGTCATGGAATTGGAGCCATTGGGTGGCTGGACCGCCGTTCTCAGCACCTCAGTTGGTAGTTTATACAAATGTGGTATTAACTGGAACAGAATTTGGAAGCCGGTAAGAATACCAGATACGATCGTAAATATCATCCTTGTACCTATTTGAGGACATACTTGACTTCAGTACACTACACTCCTTGACTTGACAGTTCACCCCAAAATATTCTCAGTACGTAGAAAAAATATTCATGTTACAAAGAGATGAACCCTACAGTAACCCACTCCAAGTATGTGATTTTTTTAGTATTATGTAACAACATTAAAAAACACAAAAAATTGAAAACTATTTAGGTTAACGTATTTATAAATTTTCAAGTGTAAAATACACGGGATATAATTGAAATTTAGGTTTTGTATCACTTTTAATGCTATTAAGAGTCTGTTTGTTTCACGAAAAATAGATTTCAGAAAATAAATTCCGTAAATAGGTAAAGAAAACGAAGAAGAGAAGCAATAGATTATGAAGCATCATGCCACTAATGTAAAAATTTATGCCTATTTCTCTCCCTGTGTATCGCTCTAGTTCTCAATATGCTTCTTACGCACGTAAAAGGTTCGAGGTAGCAGAGCTTCGCTCAACTAGTATTCTATATTACAAATGATTACTAAACTGTCTTGTCTGTTCTTATGACTTCGTAATTCGAGACTTTTCGACGTTTGATCAGGAAGAAAATTGAAGAGCGAAGATCCAATCATCGTGTATGCTCATCTCCCTCTCATCAATTTAGACACCCATTTATTTTTGTTGGTTCGTTTTGATTATCATTTTTTTAAATAATGTACTTAACGTCCCGTTTTAATCAGTTGTACTAAGAAAATAAAAAAAATTATTAACGTGTTAAATTTTTTAAATAGTAATGAGACATTATTATTGTTAATTCCCTAACAATGGATGATTAAATCATAATGTTATGTATAATTTTTAAAAAACATAGTTTGGTGACTAAAACAAAATTACGAAAATAGATACGTGACTAAATATAGATGAAACGATTAGAGTGAAATGGTCTAAGTGCGTATTGTGGAAGAAGAAGACGATAACCCATTTAAGGGGCCGTAGAAGAAATGGTGTAAAAGAAGAAAATAACCCAAAGTCCATTCCATTGAAATCGACATTTGAATAAAGAAAGAAACCGTAGATTGAATGGTAATAAAATAAATATGCTTACCAAGTTCTACATTCAATGGCCCCCCATTAGGCCATTACAGATTTACAGTCTTACAACATAAATCCAGCATCCACCACCACTTCTTTCTCAACATAATCTTCTGATATACAAAACCAGAAAAATCCCGGAATTCATATACCTAAAACAGATTATTTTCATATATAAAATAGCATAAAAATGGAAATCATGAAGAATTACTAAACTCAGGTTGATCAATGAGGATAGTCATCCTGGTAAATGAAGAAATCAGTTTATAGTGATATAAAAGGAGTTGAATGGTGGGATGTTAAGATGCAGCAAAATATCATGGTATTTATAGTCAGCCGAGGAAAAGTCTGAGAATTCCAACATCTTATGTCCTTCACTGAAGATCTCATGTCCTTCCCCTGAAAATCTCATGTCCTTCCCCTGAAAATCTACAAACTTTGAATCCTCACTCAATATCTTTATTGATGTAGAAATAATTGTTTTATTACAACTGAGGATGGGAATGCTTGAGCTTTTTTAGGTTTAATGAGAGGCAAAGAAGCAAGAGTTTGATAGCAAGCTGGCAAGGACAGCCCATTTAATTTTCAAAGATTTGGTTCCTATCTTAAAAGTAAAACATCATTGTCATGGCTGAGTCGGCTCATCGTTGGATAGCACAAGTTTGTCAGACATTTTGAGGCCGGTTCATATAGTGGTGTCATTGTCCAGTTGTGGTGGGGGCACCCAGTCACAGGACTTCCTTTGTACTTATCAGGTGTAAACGTAACTACTGCTCAATCGGAGAGCCATGAGCGTTTGTGCGGCCAAGCCGACGTCAGGGGTGAGAAGTGGCAACCCCATGGACGTACGGGCTGCGTCAGGAAACACAGTTGACACGCGTGTTGTTTTAGTCCAACACGATCAGACTTGTCTCTTGTGTTGGCTAAAATTGACTGAAGAATTGAGTAGTTTTTTATGGTATATCCTCATTCTTTCGACAGAAAAAGGACTAATTTGAATAAAATTTTAAATTAATGTAATTATAAGTAAATGCATATTATATATAAATTTGACCTAACTTCATCACTTATGCTTATCGATTGTTTGAAGCCTAACTCAAATATGCGTCTGTTTCCTTTCTTTTAAGATTAACTGAAATATATTTGTGATATCAAATTAATATTATAATATTTCATTGTTTTTAATCCAAATATTGTTTTAGGCATGATAAAAAAATATAGTTATCTTTTATTTTTAAAAATATTTTTTTCAATTAAAAAAATCTTAAAATCTCTAATTTTTAAAGAGCTTCAAAATCTTAAATGAAAGAAATTAAATTGAATAAAAATCACTATCAAACAAATAGATCGAATTTTGATGATTTATAAAAAAATATTTAAGATTTTTATTAGCCACAAATGTAAATTGAATGATTGATTGCTTAATAGATCAAAATCTTTAAATTATTATGCTAAGTTAGTTGATTGGTGGTTTTATCAGTCATGATTTATTTTAAGCCACTAAAACACTAGTTAATTAATGCTTACTGTGTTATATTATTTTGTGAACTAATTATAAATCTATAAAATTACAATATTTTCAATTACTTTTTTATTTTAATATATTTAAGAATGCATATCATTTTATTTTTATTTTTTTCTGAAATTTTGAAAATTGCATTTAATATGTGTTATATAAATTTCCAGGTATATGTCAACCTACATTTATGATGGTCAAGTATCTAAGGATTTTTTTCAAAGTAAAATAAGTCGAGTACTTCATCTAAAAGTGTATAAATAATCAGTTAAATAGATTTAATTAAAATCGAAATAATTGAAATTTATGGTCTATTTAATTAATTGAATCAGTTTAAGTTATTATTAAATCGGTTTAATTGTTAATTTTGAAAATCTAAGTATAAAAAACCAAATAAATTAAAAAATTTAAACGATAAATAAACCCTAAGTTAATAAATATCCAACCCAATATTCAACTCATACAAAACCAGTCTAATCCTCCATTAAAAAGGGGTTATAAAACAATGGCTTCAAAATTTCATTCTCTTAGCTGGACCTTGATCAATGATGGGATCAAGGGCAGGAGGTTGAGGTTCCGCTTCTTGCTGGTTTTCCGGCTCTTTCTCGCCTTCTGTTGTAGAAGGAACAAAGCCATCGGGAAACGGGGGTGGTGGAGGGGCTGGCCCTAACTGCAATTTGAATACATAGATTATTCTCAAAATAAAGAAGGAATCACAGATTGTTCCTTCCAAATCAGAAGGGACTGTAAATTTCTTCATCAAGAAAGGTTGTGATTTATGAATTATCAAAGCCAGTTTCCACTTGACTATTTTTTTGGACTACTTGAAAGATAAACTCTAGACCAACATGAAGTTGAAAAGCAAGACAAGTAGGCAACAAATCAATGGAATCTCAAATGAAAATTGCTAGCGGCTCATATTACAGATCTTATACGATCATACAAATTAAGATCAATAATCAGTTACCTTTCGCTGTAAGGAGGCAAGAATATGATCCACACGCTTAACTTCCTTGAAGTCAATTGCCTCTTTACCACCCTTTGGTTCCGAAGTTTCACTTTCATTTTCAGTATCAACTGCATCGAAATTCAATTCAAACAGTGTAAAAAGGCAACAATGAATAATGTGAGCGCAATGTGAGATACCAATGGCTGCATTCCTACAGAGTTTGAAACAAGGGATGGTAATATTAAAAATTTAAAAGAAAACAAGAGAAAATATGGTGGGGGAGAATTGACTAACAAGATTTGATTAATCGGATATAACTTACTCCTAGAACGATGTCGCCAGAAAAGCTACAAATCAAAGAGAATACTGGCTCTGTATCACTTATTAAATGAGAATAACATAGAGAATCCTTCAAAAAAAAAAGACCAATCAACTGTGTACAAGCATGGATGAAATAACTATTCTGACAATGACACAATGTAATTATAGGAGACTAGATTTAGCATGCCTTGAACATTTACACGACCTGGTCAGTAACTAGGGCAACTGAGAAACTTATTTTTGGACCATGCCACAACAAGAAGAATATAATCTATCTCTGTTTTTCTCATTGATCCCTCTCTCAAAATAAACATAAACTATCTCCAATTAAAGAAATCAGAAGTGTTTCTTATCAATGAGAAAAAGAAAAAGACAAATATTTACCATATCCAATCTTCTCTAATTTTGACGCAGCAGTTGTAAAAGCTTTTGATATATAATAGAGAGCACGTCCCTGTCACATGGATAAATTATCAAAATCCAAGAGATGAAAGTGCGTACAAAGACTCAATGCAAAGGGACAATACAGAGAGAATGATAATTTTATGAAGACAAACAACACAAATCTATTCCTTTAAACTCTGTTCACTTGTTAAAACTCTTTTTTTCTCCTCTTTGTTTCAATACTGGATTTCTTTATTAACTAGATATTCACTTCCAGGTGAGTAGTACAAATGACCAAAACATCTGAAGACTGAATGGAAAACCAGTTTTTGTACTATTTCAACAAAAAGAATGCTATTACCAGACTGAAATCAAACGAGTGTCCGGGTGATAGTATCATTTTGTTATACAAACATAAAACATGAAAGGAAAACAATATGATGGAACTTACAACTCGAGCTGCAAAGACATTGCAAAGCTGTGGTGCTTGATATATAGAACCATCCAAAATATAATATGCCAGCATCGGTGTGATTTTCTCTGCACTGTCCCTCTTTTGCTTACGAATAACAAAGAGATGTGGTTCCATAACTTCACTAAGCATGTATTCTAACCCATTCATTTTCCTATATTAAAGGTTAAAAAAAATTACTGATCTTATGAGTAACAAAATCTTTAAACTAGAATTCTAAGCGATGATTGATAAGATAATCAACAAGTTTTCCAATCAAATGCTATTTGGTAGTTATCAAATCATTTTTCAAGTAGATAAAATGCCAATCACAAATAAAAACAACTAGGCTTCCCTATTCCGCAAGCAGAATGCATGGAAAATGGCTCATATCTGGGTAAAATTGAAAACCAAATATTAACAATTTAAAGATTTGACTTACCCAAACAACTAATTCGTTAACATATCAATTGAGTTTCACAAATATCAACAATTTCCCATTCCAAAAATAAAAATGAACAATTTAATCTTCCAACATGCCACAGAGAGTTGATTAAACGGGAACAAAAGAACTCAGACTTAAATTTACTTACGAAAGTTGAGAGATGTCGAGGGGGTGAATGGATCGCATCCTGAGCTGCTCATTGTTGCAGGTCCAATCATAGAACGGAGATAGGGCAAAGTAATCGAAAACCAGGTTTCGATCCAGAGGGTATGTGTTTAGCCACAATTGGTCTCTGAAACATATGCCCGTCATGTCCGTTCCAGGAGGCTGCATCGGTGGCGGCGGTGGTGCTTCAAAGTTCCCCCCTGCCGCCGCCTGTGATGCCGGAACTGGTGGCGTCGCCATTTTGGGACTATATTTCCTGGTATGTTCTAGTTGACGTTTAGTCCGGTTATTATGCTCTTTAACGATATGAGGTCCCGAACGACGTCGTTATAGAACGGACAACGTAAATTAAGCGCAAGACTATTTTAGGTACACTACACAAATATTCATCTATCATCGATGTTTGTGTTTTATAATTTTTATCCTTCATCTCTTTTTTAATTTTTATATAACTAATTTTTCGCATAATTTCTTTAATAAATATTCCTATTTTCTAATAAAACTAGTTGGTATTTTTATTTTACATATTTAGATTGATGTTTATTTATCTTCAAAAAAGAGTGATGTCTATTTAGTATTGCATTTATAGATTTCAAATTATATGTTTATTTATTAATATATAAATTATAAAAATTACAACAATTTATCATAATATTTAGAGTTTTATTGGAAAAATTATTCTCAAACAATGCATTGACAGTGTTATCTTCAATAGGTTCAAAAACTCATATCTTTCAAACGAAACCCATATTTGTCTCCTAATTGGGCTTTATGAGTATGGTTTCTAGTCGACAAGCTCAGAAGAATCTATCAAAGTGATACTTGGGTATTAAATGTGTAATTTATTCTAAAAATAAATTATCTATTCATTTCGACTTAATTATTAGTTTAATTCGAATCATATTTAAGTAAATAAAATTCGGGTTACTTCCATCTCGGATTAATTTCAATTTAAGTTGTTTTCGATTCGAATTATTTTCAGTTCATGTTGCTTTCAGTTCGAGTTAAATTGAGTATGGGTCTATATCGGTCTAGCTAAAATTTAAATCATTTTATTTTCATTTCAATTAGTTTTGAATTTTGAATTAAATTTTGGTCATCATATCTGGTCTATATCAGATCTCAATTTGAATAAATCGATTCAAATAATCAAATAGAGATCAAGTTTCTTAGATCTATTAATAAACCCATAGTTATAGTAAGTTTAAACTTTGGTTTACCTGTGGACTAAGTAATAATTCTGTTAGAGATTATGATAAATAATGTCCTCCTCAATTAGATATTTAAAGGATTAAGGATATATTAGAAATGCTAAACAAGGCCAATATAGAAATCATAATCTTGATTTGGACTAAGTTCTTAGGATTTTCTAACTGATTTAAAGATGACAAGTTGTATATATAGTACCGTATCCAGTGCCGTATCTGGGTCTGGGCAGAAGGTGCACCTGTCCTGGGCCCAGAATTATTATAATGTATTAGAGGGCCTAATTATTTGAAATATTTGTTATTATAATTTTAATTTTTTAATATTTATTATTTTGGGCTTATTTTTTAATATTTATTATTAGGGGTCTGTTTTTATAATTTATTTTTCTAATATTTGTATAAGTGTAATTTTTTGCCAATATTTTTTTCTAGCATTTGCTATTAAAGGCCTAATTTTTTTTAATACTTATTATGAGAAGTCCAATGTTTTCAATATTTGTGATTAGGGGCACACTTTTAAAATTCAAAATTTTCTAATATTTATTTTTTGTTTTGAATCTAACTTTTTAGTACTTTTATTGGAGGTTCAAATTTTTTAATATTTGTTATTATGAACATACTCTTAAAATTTACTTTTTTTTAATATTTATTATTAGGGACTCATTTTTCCAATACTTACTATTATGAAGCTTCCTTTAAAAATTATTTTTTAACATTTATTATTAGGAATAATTACTTAAATAATGGTATGTAACTGCAACAATGAATGTTATACAGTTATAACGACATCGTCCAAAACTGCGATGTCAACAATCGTTATGTCCACAATAGTATATCTTATTAAAAATCCATAGCCACAATACTTGCAAAGACTACAATATCATTTGTTATGTTCACAATAATGATAAACACAACGTGATCAAAGACACAAATACAAATTATAATTTAAACATATGATTAGGGCCTGATTTTTTAGTTCACCTAAGACCAGCAAAATCTCATAAACGGACCGAACCATATCCATTATATGATAATTCAAACTGGCGGTAGTTAGGGTACCATACAAGTTGTACTTTTATATATACTTGTATTTGTTACCAAATTCTTGAAAGAATGTACTTAATTTGTATTAAACATATATTCCTATTTGACATTTATGTCCTTATTATAATAACATCAAACTATATTTTATATACCAATTAGAGTATAAAGTTTGACAAGCCCAGGCATGAGGTGTAGAATTCTGTTGTTACTCCGGAAGAACTGAGTTCAACTATTGTTATTCAAAATTATAATGGATTATAAATAGAGTCGGACGAATGATTTTATGTTAAAAAGGTAAATTTATAAAAAAAAATTAGGAGAAGTGAACTTATAAAATTATAAAGATAAAAATAGAAATACATTATCAAAAGAAAATATTAAAATTATACGAGGTTTTAAAATTTTCAAAGTAACGATCATCCCGTCACCCCTCAATTTATCTCTGGTTGCAGGTTTCTTTTATTTTCAAGTTGAGAGAAAAATATGTGATGGTTTCGGCTGAAATTGCTTTCTCTTAGATGCAAGCAAAATTGACAAAAACTTATTCCAATACTTTATTCGAGGTAGTTGGCTGTACGGTGTTAACAGTCAATGGTGCTTCGACAATGTGATGCTATATAAGAGCTTGATGGTGACTCCTTTATTCTCATGAAGCACAGAGAAACTGACAGAAGCTGATGGAGATGTTGAAGATTTTCTTGTACGCTCTCATTGGCTGTTCTTTTCTTTCTGTTGTGGTTCAATCCCAAGATCAATCAGGTTTCCATCAATTATCAAACATTCGATATTGTAAACATTTTACTTTCTATATTCACTAACCAATTCTGTCATTTTCTCAGGCTTTATCAGCATAGATTGTGGGATATCAGCTGCTGCTACGTACAATGATGCAAGAACAGATATAAAGCACATTTCAGATGCAAACTTCATTGATTCTGGGATAAGTAGGAGTATATCACCACAGTTTCAGACCAACACACTTGACCAGCAATTCTACTGTGTTAGAAGTTTCCCTGAAGGTGTATGAAACTGTTACACTACAGACCAACACAGGGCAAAAACAATAAGTATCTGATTCGAGCTAGTTTCATGTATGGGAATTATGATGATCAAAGTAAACCCCCAGAATTCGATCTTCATCTTGGAGTAAACTTATGAGATTCTGTTAAAATATATTGTCACCAAGGAGATCGTGCATGTATCCCGTTCGGATAGCATATCTATCTGCCTCGTAAACGAAGGCCTAGGAACGTCTTTCGTGTCGACGTTAGAGCTTCGGTTTTTCCGGAATTCAACTTATCCGACTCCGTTTGAAGCACTTGTTGTAACCCTCTCAGACCGATACGGGTGGTTCGATCCGATCCGGGGTGTCATATTAGGGCAACCATAGCGACTTATCGTAAAAATCTCGGAAAAATTAATTTTTTTATTAAAACATGTAAAATTATAAAGCAATTTATAAACGTAACAATAAAATTCAACATTATTAAAAAAATAAAACAGACTCCAAACTCGGATATAAAAACAAAATACAAGCTACATGCCCCCTAATCACATGCATCGTACTCCGCAAGCAATGCCGGTGGAACTCCCTTACTGATGTTGATAGTTGCACTGGTTTGATTCTTTCAACTTGAAATATTGAGTCAAGAAGTGAGCCTTGGAAAGCTTAGTAATACAAAACTACCAAATGATGCTACAGAACATGCAGATAAATGTAGAACAATAAAACTCCCTTATTGAATCAGACGTATATAGGTTTTCAGGATAAGCTGGGGTTCCACTGGTAGTTCATCGTGTTAGAGTATGCCCAAAGACCAATCATATGATGATTGTAATAATACTTTTATTTATCGATTTTATTGAATAAAGACATTGCCGCTATTATTTTCAGTTATATATACGTGTTTAACATAAACTAGATGATAATAAAGTCCATATAATGACATAATTGCTATTATTAAAAAATCCCTAGTCAAGTATTATTATGGGCATTGACAATAATAATACGTTTAAGACTAACATGTTATTGATTGATGACAACGAGTTGTCATTGACATAGAGATGTCAGAATTGATACATGATTATATTGTTAGAGAACAATGTATTGGATTGACCCATCATGAACATATGTCTTGGATTATTATGTGACAGTCATAACATTGCTCACCGTGATGACTATATGGATGATCCTCATACTTGAGATCAATACTATCCCAACATATATTGTTGTATGCTTTGGTACAGCTAAACAAGCTCCGTAACTGGTTGCTCTATAAAGACTGTTATTAAATATATCTCAATATATGTAGTGGGTGTGTATGATTAAGATAGGATTTGTCCTTCCTACATAATAGGAAATATATCACAGGCCACTTGATTGAGTAAGACTAGAAATGCATGGCCATGCTTGAATAAGTTGATATGAGATATCATAAACTATTCGTTAATTAAAGTCTACTCTAGATATCAAGAAACAATAGATGGGCTATACAAGTGTGATTATTCCAAGACTTGTGCTTATTCTAAATATAAAGGACATAAGGATGTAATACATAAAATAGTTAATCACCAAGATGATATGTCGAATCATATTTTCTTGTAACTTAGGTGACAATGATATATTACTAGATGTCACTCATTGTATGTAATATTAGAATTGTTCTAATAATTACTGCTAAGGTTACAAGAACCTACAGAGTCACACCCTAGGATTGAAACGAGCAAATATGTACAATTTGTTGTACGATACTAAAATATATCTAGAGTTAATTAAGTACATGTTTTAATAATCCCGAATATTTAATTTCAATTAATTAAATATAGATTTAATTAATTTGAAATAATAAAATCCCTAATATAATTAGGGTAACTTGGATATAAAAGGATTATTAAATTCTAATTAATTAAATATAGTTTTAATTAATTTGAAATAATAAAAACCGTAATATGATTAGGGTAACTTGGCTATAAAAGAGTGTGTTAGGTCTAGCAGCCGTTTTAGAGAACACACACAAAACAATAAGCCATTTTCTCTCAAAATGGTTTTGGGGGAAAAAATTGCTCT